CGAATGGCATGTTCCTGGTAGGGTATAGAGGTACCAGTCCGGGCGTTGATGTCACCACTTACCACAAAGGGGATGTCAAGAGTGGTAGCCAGACGGACGCTTTGAGCAAGAGCATCCCAGGGGTGTAGGTCTGCCCATTGGGTCCAGTCGGTACGTGAGGATTCCGGGATGATATAAGTGTTGAAGAGTACGATTCCATTAACCTGAACTGCAAGAATATCAGGGCTACTCAGGTCTACACGTACCCTGCTCTCAAGACCATCCCGCACAAGGGTGGCTACACCACCCCATGGGTTTTCAATGTTGTCAGCACTTCGCCGCCGATTTAGCGCGTGAGCTGTAAAGCCGGTAGGAGAGCGGATAGTGGAACTGGGCTGTATTCTTGTCTCCTGGAGCATGATAACGTCGTAGGCGGTGACGATTTTCAGAAAATCGGGACTAAGATAGTTTAATAGGTAACGACCGTTGATATTCCAAGACAAGATATGAATTTTGCAGCCATTATTAACAGATGAGAGGTTAGAGAGAGGAGGAGGAAGGGGTTTAGAGGATGGGATATTAAGAGTAGAGGATGGAGAGAGAGGAGAACGGACAGAGTTTATAAGTACAGAGGTAAGAGTAGAGGTCCCTGAGGGACCCTCAGATGTGAGGGTGTCATGAGGAGCAAATTTATCTATATATACAGAGGAGTGTACAGAAGGTCGCGAGTTCGAAGCTGCAAGCCCCTTATGCTGTAACCGTCAATCAGTACTGTCCCGGGATACCGAAATATCTGCTAAGGCGATGACATGGGCATGGTGGGCAGACCAGGTCGATAGGAAAGCTTCCAGGCCAAAGGGAGAAAAGCAGAGTCGAGCGTGTCGAGGACCCAGGCGTTCAATAAATCCTACATTCGGTAGTGTAACGCCACGGGTAGAACTGAGGGTTGATGACCATTGACGATACATGTTGAAGATGTGAGGATTGACCGTTGGTGGGAAAGGAGGGGCGTTTGAAGGAAGAACAACTGTTGCGGAATGGGCGAAGCGAGGATCAGTGCGAGGACGTTTTTGTTTGTGCTCCACATTCTCTGTAAATTCTTGTTGGCGCTTGGTAACCGGTCTTGGTCGGGCAGAGTCTGAAATGCGATAGAGTAGCGAGGTAGCAGTAGCAGAGGGTTCAACCCAAGGAGATGTGAGAGTAGAGGAAGACTCGACAGGGGGAAAAGCAACAGAGGGGGCAGAGGAGGAAGGTGTACCACTGAACAGGTTCTCCATGGTGGCCAGCAGGTCATTCATGGCGTCGATGGGGATTGAGGATGAAATGAGAGACTTGAGCTGAACCTCCAGTAGATTAAGCTCCTGGTGAATTAGACTTTTCAGCTGTAAGTGGTGAGATGCCTGGGTGGAGGCGAGGCGATCTGATCCTCGCGAGGTTTCCCGCTGAATGTCCTGCAGCATTTGATTGCGAAGGGAAGACGCAGCCGAGGCAGTTGAGGTTTGGATATCCTCAACCCGGTGGTTGATCAGCGTTTCTAGGCGCACGATGTTGCTCTCGAGGCGATGCATCTGCTGCACCTTCGTCTCCTTGGAGGAACCCTGGTCGAGCGACGATGACTGAGGGTAGGTGATAGGCTGCGGGGTCGTTTCCGAGTTCCTCGATTTGCGAGGCTTAGACGTGCTGCCCAACTTGTGGCCGCGGCGGCTTGGGACCTGTAGGCGAGTGGGCGAGGACGTGGTAACAATGCCACCGGCAGCTGCAAAGTTTCCTGCCGACTGGTTAGAGGTTTGTCGATGGGAGGTGACCGTGTTCAACCGAGCACGGAGCTCGCGACCCAGGTCCCGGAAGCGTGAATCAAGGGAATTGGGAGTCGAAACTATGGCCGTGGGCGGTAGCGAGTTTGGGTCAGTGGTGGCAACCTCAGTGGGGTCCATCCACTCCGCAGTACGGTTGTCCAGGTCCAACTGGTCCGACTCTTGAGAGGGTTGATCTTCTATATTTCCGAGATCCACTTCGCTGAAGTATTCGTCCTCGTAGTCCACCGGGTACTCCTGGCTGTCGTTGTTGGCCATGATACGAGAGCGAGGGGAAAGGTGAGAATAGGGGTTCTCCAGAGAGAGATGAGGATGAGGAGAAAATGGGAAGGATAAACTTCAGGAAACTAGTGTTGCTTGTATAAGGGTCGGCTTCGAGGGTAAGAACCATTCGTTGTGACTGAGATGGACAGAGTAGGCGAGGGACGCTGTGTTTTCAATTCGAGAGAAGAGGATGCCGCAGACGCTTCTACTCGATGTCGAGGGGCTCTTTCTTTCTCTTGATACGATAAGGCGGTTTGGGCTGCTGCTAGCGTTGTTGGGAAATGGCCTAGGGCGTATTAATATGCGGGTAGAGTGCGAGCAAAGTGAGACGGCGATTTTCTCGATTAAGCGCTCGTTAGATGATGGTGGTTGCACAGTTCTAGTGTCATGTACTGATAGTGACTGAATTATCTGGACAGGGGTTGTATAAAGATTGGCATAGGAAAACACCTCTATCCAGGCTACCTCTGATTAAAAAAGGGATAGTATCTGTGTGAGAGGATTATAAGATAAGGATAGGATAGGATAGTTAAATTATACTGGTATAAGTATTCTGCTCAGGATCAACACAGGATGATCTGATCTTTCAAGTTATCTCGAATCTTTGTATACTATATCAATGAATATATCCTCTTGAATTCTTCTCCTCCCTCTGTGTCCTGATATCCTCTAACCCATCATAATCAAACCATGTCAACCCTATCAAAAACATTCGGAATCCTTCCAACTGAAAGTCCCTCACTATCCTCTTGTGTCCTCTTATATCAATGTATATCCTTATATCCTCTTATATCCTCTTATATCCTCTTATATCGTTAAATCCTCTCATATCCTCTCATGAACTCCTCTTCCTTCACTCATCTATCATATCTTCTCATAATCTGAACTCTCTCATCTAGATTCTACCATATCCTCTTCTTTTAACACTCTCATCTCCATATCTCCTGATTCCCTATTCATATATGCACTTATGTCCTCTCATGATCCCTTTCTAAACATCCTTTTATGCTCTATTTCTTCTTCTCGTCTCTTGTATCCCCTCATTTCCTCAGAGATTCTACTCATAACATAACCTCTTACCTCACTCCCTTCATCTCCCAGCCCCTCATCTGCAAAACCTGTATGTTCGGCTAAATAGCCGAAAGCAGCTCAGAGCACTTGGGAGCACTTCCCAGCAGCAAAAGCACCCAGAGCAGGCTTTGATTTTTGCTTTGGGTGCTTTCGTCACTGGAGAGCGCTCTCCAGCTAGTATCCTTGCTCTGGCGAGTATACATGTTTTGCAGATGCTCTCAATCCACCGACACAGCACAAAACCGACAACCCATCATCCTTCTCCTTTCTCCCTTATCCATCTTCCGTCCTCCATCCTCATTCCATCTAAAGATCTAATGCATCCAAAGATCCATTGACTCCACCCACTCTTTCCCACAAACACCAAACCCCCACCAGAAAACAGTCTATACACTACGCATCCTTGAAGCCTCTCACCTGCCCAGAAGCGTATTGCTCAATCGGCGCGGTGGGAGGACGGGCATAGGCGATGTGGGCTGTGCGGAGCTAGAGGGATAGAAGGGTATCGATGAAGCGAGGAATCGATAGAGGACAAAGGGATGGAGTGAGAGATTGATAAATGGATAGAGGTGGAAGGAGGAAGGGAGGGAGGAGGGAGATAAGTGATGGTAAGAAACAAATCGACGAACGAACAAATTAGAATGAGAAGGGAATACTTGTGAAAGGGAACATACGAGAATCTCAGCAGTCAACCCTTTTATGGGTGACGCTACGGAGCGGAAGCGGTGCATTCTATAAATGGAACTGGGGATGTTGTCGGTGGTGTCGTTGTTGTTGTTGTGATTAGGGCCGAGTTGTGGATACAAGCGGTCGGTGTAATTCTGCCATAGATGGATGTGGAAGTCAGAGATATATGCACAAAACGGTATTATACAGGTAACGTACATAAAGCTCTTCATCGTACGGCCAATCCTCTGATCCTTTCTCCGCCAAATCTCTGGAGGAGAGTGTGGACTGGGGGGAGAAAGGATCGAGGATTGATTCCAAGGGATGTGTGAATATTCGGTCGACTTCGGTGGGGTTTGCTTGGAGTGTTAGAGTCGGTGTCAGGGTATAGGTATGCGATGGGGGTGAGGACGCGGAGGAGGATACTGGTCCGGAGAGATAAGCGACAACTGGAACGACAATGATACCCCATTGGGATATATGTGGGGAGAGTGTACAGAGGATGTGGATGTTCGGTATATGTGGGATGTCGTTGTCGCTGTCGATAATCAGACTGGAAGGAAAGGGTAACCCGACTTCCTCGTATGCTTCCCTAAACTATTCATCCATATATAAGCACGGTTGTGTTAAGTGTCAATCACTCACAGCACCCCATAAAACCTTTGGCTCTCTATCCTCTTCGTCAATTCTCCCTCCCGGTAACGCTGTCTGTCCAGGATGAGATCGCAGTGATTTCGACCGTGTGGTGAGGAGTACTTGGATTGAGCCCGTACTGTCCGAATAAAGTAACACTAAAACAGCTGCGAGCTGCTGTCGATGTAAAGACCTGTTTTCATTCAGTTCGTTCAACCATTACCTTGCATTATCAGCAGCAAGTCTACGTACAAATTTGTTTCATCGAATCCTCGCCCTCGTAATCTCCGCAGAGCCACACGCGTTGCTTCGTCTATTCCAGGTATCGTGTCCACGTCGGCTGCTAGGCTGATACTGGGTGTAGTCGTCCCCATCGACATTAGTTGACCGGGAGTTTTACGCCGAGGTCGATGGGAAACAGCGACAAATATTATTCTAGTCAACAAGGGCGTTTTGAAAACGACTCTTTAATCTGCATTGCACTCCATTGTTTGCTTGGCTTGGAGTCCTTCGCCGTATCGTACATAGTTCATTATTCCCGTACAAAAATATTGGTGAGGATTTTCCGCAAAACTCTCTGGCTGGGAGTCGAACTCAGCTTTCGCGCGGAAAATCGCACACGATGACAGGCGCGTGTACTAACCGATATACTACCAGGGATTGTTATTTTCTCGAACAATCTTATCACCATATTGATGGATTTCTTTCTCAACCGCAAATCTTCATGTAACTGTCTCCAAACAACAAATCATCATTATTTACTATCGAAGAATCAGTCGGCATGTTGACGCTTTAGGAGACTTATCCAAGACGAAGTGCAGAGAAGCTGCATTCACTTGGGATTTTGAGACGCGTCAGGCCGGCACGAACGGCAACTATCGACTAACAAGCCGGCCGGTCAACGTAGTCTTTCTTGCAATTATCTTCTTCTCGCTTCTCATCCATTGAACAATTTCCGTGGTAATATCCTCCGCACCACCAGAGCCGCCCGCACAGTCATTTGTGTTCCTCCTCTATTCCTCCATACACCCGTGTAACGCGTTCTCATCAATATATCGACCCACAATGGCTCTCGGACGATTGTTCCACTACGCATTCGATGCAGTGTTGGTGTCTACGGTCCTTGCAGGGGTGAAGAAGACGAGCGGGTTTAGGTTTGTTTTCTTTCTATGCAAATACTTTTATGTTGTATGAAGTTGGCTGAACGCTTTGTCACTCTTTCCTCAAATCACTCTCATCCCCATTTTCCTTCTCCCAACACACACGCCATAGCCTCGACGTCGACCAACTAACTACAAACCCCACCGCCAAATCCGCTGCCGAGTCGTATCTCGGTCTCGGAGAGTCGGTGTATGGGATCATACAGTCGACTGTGGTGAATAATGGGTATTTTGCGAAGAAGGAGTAGGAGTAGTGGTGGATAGGAGGAAAAGAGGGAGAAGTACAACCACTCGAACATCAGACAAAGCGATCATCCGTTTCACAACGCTCAATCGCCGCGTTTTCTGTATTACAGGAGAACATACCTCACTCCAGATACACCACCGCATAGCATATATCACCGGTGGGTTATAGTGAAAAATTCCATGCTCCTTCCTTCTTCCTTTTTTTCGTTTCTCGCGCGTCTGGGTCATCGTGCAATCATCGTTACGCATGTATCAGCCAAGACCAAATCAATTTCTAGGTTTGGTTGGAAGAATTTTTGTTCGAGGATTTCGTATTCGCGCCGTTTTCGCATCATTCATAATTTGTCCTCTACTAGATTCCGTTGTAAATTGGGTGATGCAATTTGCAGCATGTTATGACAACAATTGATGTCAATCGAGTCTTCAGCGCATATGCATTTTTTGGGTATCAGAATGAAAGCGTCATGCAGAGTTGAATTCATTGGAAGGTAACGTAGCCTTTGACGACAATTAGATCCCAAATAACGAGTCGGCCTGACCTCAGGCAAGCAACTCTACAACAACTTCTCGATCTTGATAACCTCCTCGACAGCCTTCCACCATTTCGCTCCTTGCTCACTCTGCACAAGCGCACTAAGACTTGCCTCCTTCAACGGTCCTCTCACCGTCCCATTCCCGTACCCAAACTCTTGCGCAACAATCGCCTTGACACCACCCACACCACCGATCTTCGACACCGCCCAATCCGCTGCAGATAGCTTTGACTGTAGCGTAAAAGCTTCTTCTAGCACCTTCGCATCCTTGGTCTTCTGGTATTCCAGGAACAATTTGAACACCTTCGCGTGGATCTTTGGTACGAGATTGACGAGGGCTGCGATGGTGCCTGCGCCGCCAGACAGGAGGGTGTGTAAGAAAACGTCAGATTTCCCAGCGAATGTGGCGAAGGAGGATCTGTAGTCGAATGATGAGGACAATCGTTGTATTTTTCCGACGTTCCCGCAAGAGAGTTTGGTGCCAACAATGTTGGGGTGTGTGGCGAGAGAGGAGATAAGGTCAGAATCAAGGTCGAGCCCCGCGGTCACAGTTGGGAAGTTGTAGATCATATATGGAAGGGGAGAAGCATCTGCAACCTGTATTGAAATTGATCATCCGATATTTTTTGTCAACAATCTCAAGCGCTCACCTCTCTATGGAACCTCGATATGCTATCCGCTCCCATCGCCGGTGCCCACGTCGATGGAGTCAACACCAGCACCCAACCGGCTCCACTTTCTTTTGCTTCTACGCACAATTCCTTTGTCTCCCTCGCTGACTGCGCTCCAGTCCCTGCTATAATCAACACATGCTGGAACCCCGCCTCATCGAGGGTTTTTCGCGCAAAAGCGATCGTGCGGGATCGTTCCGCGTGGGAGAGATGCTGAGCTTCACCGTTGGAGCCTTGGACGAGGATCCCGGTCACGCCGCCCTTGGAGGAAAGCGCATAGGTTTGTGAGCTCGGGTCCGGCTTTGCATAAAATCCATACGTACCTCCGCTAACCGTAAGATATGTTTTTTATATGCTTCTTCATCGATGTCTTCGCTTCCAGGATTGAAGAAAAGCACAGCGGGAACATAGACGCCCGGTGGTGGTGGTCCTGATGTTGTGTTTTGAGTTTGTGTCACAGCAGACATGTTGTGGGTATTCGAATGAGAATCGACGAAATTCAGGCAAAATATGAGGAACTGGTGAAAATCAGGAGAAAACAAGTCACAGGTGGTAGAATTATCTCGTGGAAATGTGGTCTAATCTGGCCGATAAATCCCTCGGATACTCGGAAAACTATTCAATGATAGAGCAAACTAACTTGCAAAGTCAGAATATACGGAAGAAACTCAAGGAAAGAAGGAAGCTGGGAGGGCTCAAGCTCCGAAAGCTCAGGACTGACCATGATTTTGTTTTGACGAAATCTATACACAGTACAACGATAAAGGCTTGAAGAGATCAAAAACAGAGACTGGAAGTTAGAACTGAAGTTCACAAATTATCCCACGGATCCAATTACTTCTGGAGCACATGAGCCCTTGTCCTCCTCGTAGACAGTTTGCAGCAGTTTGCTCGCTTGGGCCCATAGTCAAAGCCGGTATCCCACGTGTTGTTTGGGGCGAAGCGGTTGTTCATCGAGTTCCGACGGGTCTTTTTGATCAGCATATCCTCGTCAGTCCCTCGTCGAATCTACGCTACCTCAGGCCGCTGCTAAAGCAATCTGCGATGCGCTTCCTTACTCCAGAAAACTCGTTGATCAACGAGAGAGCTGGAAAGATTGCTCCATGACCAACAAAATCAAGCCATATGCATTCAGTTTCAATGACGAGACATTATTTCTTGAACATAACAACGTCCAGGCCGCATGGGGTTAACTTTATCTTGGATCTTATCATTCTTACTGCTTGCTCAAATAATATTTTGAGGACCAGCCACAGCACATTCTGCTTCATGACTCCTCTGTGTACGCTCAGGACTACAGCCGTACCTGTCTTGATCCTCGACCTCCCTCGACTGAACCAGCAATCGCAGATATTCGCTTCCCCACTCTGGTTGCCTATTCGACGCTATTGAAACTCCAAATGAACCACCCCTCCCATTCATTCACAGTTCGAGTCATGCATCGGAACCATGATGAGTTAACTGTCCTTCTACACGGTTTCAGACAAAGGTGTCACATATAATATTGCTGGAGAACGCCTCCCCATTGATGCATGCTGGCCAATCTTGGAGCAAGTCAAAGAGGAAAATCGACCTAGGCTGATCCGAAATTTCATTGGTCGACGTCTGGATCCACAGAATACCAGGATAGAAAGAGAAGACAACCAGCGAGACGTTTTCCAACGCAGGGGGACCCCTTCTCGATCTCCTACTCGCCGAATTCTGTTTGATCCTCATCATGCTGACCGTAATCTCTCAGAGCCCAAGTTTGCACCTCGACTCACACCTGCATACCCATTATTGAACGTGTTCCCATAGATTTATATTCACGGTACAAGAGAACTATCCTGGCGTCCGTTGGCTCGTTATGCTTCGATTGCAGCCAAACTTGTACGATACTACTACTAGTCGATATTGACACATATCGTGACGTAATTTATATTGTCAGGTATAAAATACTCACTGCTGTTTGTGTATATATCATTTTCAGGCATATGGGCGTTCACTCTTACAACGAGAGTCCGTCTCCCCCTGCCGAACAGCTTGCTCGCTTGGGTCCACCCAGTATTCTCGTGAATGCCGGCATCCCCTCTATTGTTTGGGGCGAAGATGCTCTTTCCATTGTCCATCGAGTTCCAACCATGCTTTTTGATCAGCATATCCTCGTCGAATCCACACAACTTCATGCTGCCGCTCAAGCAATCTGCGGTGCGCTTCCTTACTCCAGAAAACTCGTTGATGAACGAGAGAGCTGGAAAGATTACTCCATGACCAACAAAATCAAGCCATATGCATTCAGTTTCAATGACGAGACATTATTTCTTGAACATAACAACGTCCAGGCCGCATGGGAGAAGGTTAACTTCATCTTGGATCTTATCATCTTTACTGCTTGCCCAAATAATATTTTTAGGACCAGCCACAGCACATTCTGCTTCATGACTCCTCTGTATTCCATATTGACGCTCAGGACTACAGCCGTACCTGTCTTAATCCTCGACCTCCCTCCACCGAACCTGCAATCACAGATATTCGCTTCCCCACTCTGGTTGCCTTTTTCGATGCCATCATCGACACTTCAAACGAACCACCTCTCCCCTTCAATCACAGGAAGTTTGAGTCATGGCTCGGAACCATGATGAGTTATCTGTCTTTCTACACCGTCGCAAACACAGGTGGCATATTTGACATTGCTGAGGATGGAGAACGCCTCCCCATTGATGCCTGCTGGCCAATCCTAGAGCAAGTCAAAGAGGAAAATCGTCCTAGGCTGATTCGAAATTTTATCGGTCGACGTCTGGATCCTCAGAATACCAGGATCGAAAGAGAAGATATCAAGCGAGACGTTTGCCAACACAAAGGAATTGCTTATTATCCTTCCACTCGTCGAATTCTGTTTGATCCTTATTATGCTGACCGTAATCTCCCAGAACACAAGTTTGCACCTCGACTCACACCGTAAGCGAACTATGCTCATCGTGTGCATGTCCATTATTGAACGTGTTACCACAGATATATATCAACCAACAACGATAAAAGGGACCTGTCTTGGCGTCCGTTGGCTCGCTATA